AAGTCTACATAGAACCACCATTGCTACACGGTTGGCTGTGTCAATACAGATATTTATTTTGTATTATTTGTCTTTCCTAGCTAACAATACACCTGGTATATCGTCAGCAAGCCAGTTGGAAACTCCCGTCAAGAGAGCGGACAATTGCAAGCTTGCGTTTGCAACGCGCTCACCTTGCCAATATTTGTCTTGGGTGATGTGAGAGAAGCCTAGTGGATCGTCAGCGCAGCAGTGAGAGATGAGAGTGGTTGTATTTTTAGCGAAACAACGTAGGCTATTCCGAAGAGAAGAGAGTAAAATTGAATATAGAATGATAATTTATTGTCTTTTTGACAAAATAGAGATCCGCACACTCAGTCTGTTGTGTACAGATCAGTCCGATAGACAGTCCGATGCCGCGTCAAACAGCGCACGTAGTTTTGTGTGAGTGTTGGAGCGCGTAAAAGCCTACCGAGTTGTACAATGATCAGCAGTTCTGCAGGCGCGGAAAGGGAGATTCGGCAGTACTGTAAAACTTCTGTCTATAACTCTGGGGGCATCTTGCGCTCGAGAGCGCTGTTGCACATGCGCAAATGCCCCGGGCAAGTTGTGGGAACATCTGTGGCACTTACTTCGCCGCCCCACCGGCAAGTTTTGTTTGCAGTGATACTTGCACACGGCAACGTTGTTGGCATGTGCTGGGCATAGTAACTTTGCACAGATGCACGAGTTTACGTGGCCGTCTGGGGGAGAGCCCAAAAAGCCAAGCGCACGAATTGCCACGGCGCAGTCAATGTGGAACACTCAGCTTGTGTTTCTTAGTTATGGATATAATAAACATAAATATTGTACCTTGGAAAATTCAATGCGATTCGTTCATTTGGACACAGTTTTTGGGGTTTTAGGTGGCTATACAGCGACCCCGGCCCGGGTTCGTAAGAAAAAGGCATTGTTGAGAGTAAAAAGTAGAAGTAGCCAACATGAACATGTTTGGACTACTCTGTTACAAGTAAAAGTCCGGTGGCGCATTTCAAAAATGTTACTCGGAAGGTTAAAGCGCAAAATGATTAGCATATACCAATTGTATACTTAAAAGGGGTGCAATAATACATGTTTTTTTCCATTGTATGAATGAGTTTGAATGTCATGACAAGTGTCGCAAAGCGGTTGGTGTTAAAGTGCAGCTTAGTTTTTTGTTGTGTTCTGTTAAGACTTTGTATTTGTTGTTATGTGGTGGCGGTGTTTAGTTAGGGCAGTGCGGTGTGTGTGTGAATTTACTCCAGGAGGCGTAAACTATCAAACGGTCTGATTTAAGACTTGATTATATGGTATCATCATTAATACAGAATCTGTGTAGTAAGTAACTTAAAAAGTAGCGTTATTAGAATAATGGGTTTAGCGCAGTTTTTAAGGCTGTACAATACACATTTTACCTGCTGACACTTGTTTTAGTGGGGGTTTCCGTTGTTGTGGGGGTGTGTGGTGTGGTGTGTGTCTTGTGTGTGTTGGTGTGGTTGTGTGTGTTGTGGTGGGATGTCCTGTGTTGTGTCACTTTATTTGTGTTTTAGTGTTTTTGTTACCCACTTCTACGATATTCAACTAAATGGCGGAGTACCGGGCAAAAGAAAAAGTGTTAGGAGTTTTCTAACAATCACCAAAGTAAGTGCGCGCGCGCGGGGGTGCCCTTAATGCTCTTTGTTCGCTGGTTACAGGAGTTTATGCGCCTTGACTTTTCCCAGCGCCGGCTCCGGTGGGTCAGCAACTTGTTAGGCGATCTTGCGTCGGGCGGCCGCGCCGGGGGCCGCGGGCCTTGGCGTGGGGCTGGGCCTCCGTAGTATTTTGATCATTTGCTCCGCTAATAATCAATCAGATCGATGGATTCCAGAGAAGAGAAAACTTTGAAGGCCTTTTTCTCAAAATGATGACTCGGTGACAGTCATTATATAATGTGACATATTTCGCTTAATATTTGGAGTACAAAAACAATCCTGATATCATTAGAAAGCTAGGAATATCCTCTTTCCAGCAGTGTATACAACTCAACATGTGTCTTCGGGTCAATGCGACTGATTTCAATAGAGCAGGTCACATTTGTACTTTGATAACCATTAATCTGCCCTTCAATGTTGACCATTTTCTGGATCTTCTCGGGGATTCTTCAAGTCCCGCCAAATTATGTGTGACGTCATTGCGGGCACAGCGCTCCAGCTGCACCGTTGAGGATCCCAGTATCTGAATGTAAACCTGATGTAAACGCACGATGGCGCACACAGCAGCAAGCTCAGACAGCGAAAACAGTTTAATTTTGAACGTGTCTGAGAGCTCATATGAGGCTGAAGGATCGGTTTATGTTGTACCTGTTAGAAGTTTAGGAATTAGGTGCGTCAATATGGGCGATCATACGGTCATGTAGCCAGTGGTGGACTGGGACTAAAAATCAGCCCGGGACTCTCGACCGGCCCACTTCGGTACCGCTAGTAAATTGTCAACGGGGGGAGTGGGGGATGTGCTAGTGACTTATCCGACCGGCCCACTTCGGTACCGGCCCATCGGGATTCGTCCCGATGGCCAGTCCGCCACTGCACCCAGCCCAGCCCACGTAAACTGTCAACGGGGGGAGCCTCGCTGCGGGGAAACGGTGGACCTAGTGTCCCGATCGGAGTGGGAATAATAATAATAATCATAATCCGTGCATTTTATCCATTAATTTCCCCAACATTGTGGTAAAAAAAAACACACGTTTAATCCATGTTGGTGTACTACAATTACAAAAAGCATCGGTTTGTTTTCTCATCAGGAAATGCAGACCAGCTCAAACAAACGATTTTTAAATCATCATCCTCACGATCATTTAATGTATCATATGTTCGCCGAATTGACATGAAAGCACTAATAAATGTAGTTTCATCCACTTGAGTTTACAACTACAAAAATAATCGATTTGTTTTTATATCACATCCTACGGGAGGAAATTCAGCAGCTCTCACTACCGATTTGTAATCCTAATTTAATCATCATCTTCACCACGATCATTTATGTTTATGTTCGCCGAATTGACATGAAAGCACTGACAAATATGAATATACTGTAGTCAACTTCATTAAAACGTTATTAACGTGCCTAAACTTAGTAATTCACCATTTCTACGCATGACAACACACTTTGTCCGTGTTTGGCTCTCTCGCCGCACAGTGAAGCGTTCCCGCATTGACGTCACTTCCGGCTTCCCCCAAAACTTCAAAATGAGTCGAAGGAATTTTCCCGCGATGTTCGAAATTATTGATATTTATCGGAACGGTATCGCACCTTCTTTTTTAAACTGACTGTTCGAGATGACTAGTAGCCCAATATTTCATTGCACAACAGTTGTTGGGATGCTGTCACACTCACAGGCTCTTTAAAGGCACAAAGCAAGACACTGAGATGTTTGATCTCAGACTTTAAATCATTTTCCCCTTTATTCTGCAGAAAATCAACACACCCCACCAATGCATCTTGTGCCACACACCTCACCCGATGTCCGAAATGCTTGATTACAAAAACAAGGAGAACATGGTGAAGCTCTTCTGCTCCAGCCAATGTGTGGCGTCGTACAAGCTGTGGCCTGGAAATGAGAACAAGCTTCAAGGTACTGGAGAATACATTTTCTATTCATTTTGCACTGGCTAAATGTATTGGTCGTGTATTGGGCTCAGTTAATTTTAACCAGACACTAGCATCGTGTGCCATCCATGTGTTGTTTCTTTACAAAAAAGTTAAAGAAAAAGTGGAACTAATTCTGAGAAAGATCAGCAACTAGAACCATATGTGCCACAAAAAAAAGCAGTACAACTTTCATTTTAAAGGTTATATCTGCCAAATTATTATTTTGAGCATTGGTATTGGTCCAGAATTTCACAATTGGTGCATCCCCAAATAAAATATGATCCGGGATGTCCAATTTTACTGACTGAATTCCCCCTCGTGGATTAATAAATGTTGATCTTAATCTTGATAACATTTGAATTAATATATAAACCTTTCATAATTGTTTATAACAGACTAGGATGTAGTTGTGAGCAGATTGATGTGTTTATTAATGTATTGTCAACCACTGTGGCTACTCCTGTGTAAAAGCTAAAGATAACTTTTGTATTTACAGGGCGTTTTATAATTGTTATGTGTTTCTGATTTCACGCTTCAGAAAAGAAAAGCTGTCGTCAGAGGAAGAAGAAAAGCGACAAGCAGTCAGAACAAATATTAAATACTGTGAGTATATTGCATAAAAGAAATTCATAGTAAATACAAAGTTTGTCTGATTTGAGCCTAGATAAGTAACAGTACCATAACTGTGTGTTGTCCCACAGGAAGAGGGAAAGATCAGTGAGCCCTCCACTGCAAGCGAAAATGATGCATCTGCAGAAGTCATAACTACACTCCTCTTTGAATGTTCATCGGTTGCTTGTTGCAACTGTGGAAAGACACTGCAGCGGGGAGAGACGCTTTACAAGCCAAAGAGCTCCGAGGAGAGTTTTTGCTCACCAGAATGCCTCGCCAAAAAGCATCCCCACATGAAATTTGTCACCAAAACGTGCTACAACTGCTTCCAGTAAGTCCTGGATATTTCTATACATGCTGTTTCTGCTCTGTACGTGTGCATTTGTATAAAACAGACAAAATGTACTAAATTCAAATGTTCTAAAAAAGTTCATCAGTTATGATACATTATCTACAGTATAGTCAGTGCTTGAATTGGAATAAAAAAGGTGCCAGTATTCTAAATCAGCAACAAGTATTTGGCACAAAGTCATAGTATATATATGCTATAATGCTGGTGGGTTTGTCTCTTTTACTGTATTATTTTAGAAAGCTCAGCTGTACTTTAAAACAAAATGACTCGGGGCGTGCCACTGAGATTCTAGAGGGCTGCAGCGTAAAGCTAAGCTACTTTTTATAAGCTGGGGCGAGTGGACCGACCACCCTCTAGTCTAGGGGGTCCGGGGGCATGCTCCCGCGGGGCAATTTTTTTTTAAATATGCAAGTAGATGCATCAATCTGTGCACTAGCAGCAGCAAAATGATAGAGTATATATGGATACCTCTCAACACGTCCATAATAAACATTATCTGTAAAACAGATTAAGGCTGTTAACGTGAGTTGTCATGATTTTATGATATAAAAGAAGATATATTGTGAGCTTGACTCCTCTGGCTGGTTTAAATGACTCCTCGTCCCGAGCGCCACTAACCGAGTTTTGTGCCA